ACATTGTATTAAGAATATATATATATATATATATATATATATATATATATATATAAACAATGATCACTCTTGCCGATCAACTTTTACTTTGATGGCCTAAAGTCAAAATGGTCAGAGAGAAGGTCTCATGAGATCTTGATTTTCCATAAGAACAATCATTGAAGGAAGATTAAGCCAATTCTTGATGAAAAAAATATTGTGCAAGAAAATGTTATTAGTGAGTTTGATATCTCCACAATAATAAGTTAATAGTTTCTATGTGTGGTTAGGTAAATGAGGTAGTAGACTTGGTTACAAGTTTCATATGTAAGAATTCATCAACATTGAACAATATATTCTTAGATGCATCTAAAGTCATTTCACGACTGACTGCAACTAATAGTGGGATAGGAGAAATGAAGAGGTAGGTACTAGAACGATTAGAGCAATTAGGACTCTTGATTCTACTCGAAAATAAATGCTAATAAAATATTTGCATCAAGTATAAATATTGATGACGAAAAAAAATTTAAAAAAAAAAATAATTGCTTTTGGCTTCTACACGTTGGATGGGCTGTTAGTTACAGTAATCGTTCATGTGGCACCAAGTTCATGTTTTGCATGGCAATAATCTATCCGAATTCGGGCATATAGCCAAAAGCTTGTAGCCTCATTCTTTGGTGTGGCTAAGAGAATTACAGTAAATACAGTGTTTTCTTTTCTCCTTACAGCCACTGAATTGGAACTATTAATTAAATCAAAAAAAAATTTGCTCGTGATGGCAAAGGGTATACCATCAGTTGTGGTAATAAATTGCAGTCAAATGATTTTTTTGTGCTCTTTTTTAGGATATTAAGGAGAAAACTTAATTGATGTGTGAAGACTAATCCATAAGGAATAGTTTCTTCATAAATTGGTTGAAAGAATCATTGAGGTCCATCAAGAATGACATAATGTATTTCATTTAATATTGGGAGAGGAGCAAATTGACACCTTGACAAGTACATTTCTCTTAAATGCAAATAGGGCTGATTAGCTCATCCCAAAGGATATTCAATTTGGTGAAATATAGGCTAACCAATTGTTGATTATTCTTTTAGGTTACAATTTATGAGGTAGTTGAATGATTTGGGGTCGTTGCTCAATTGGAATCATTACCGGAGATTAACCTAGTGGCATGATAGTTTATGAATTTATAATGTTTGTCAATGTTCCTTGGATGAAAAATATGATATCCAATAAATATCATTGCAATATTATTCATTGTCAAAAAATTTTCAAGATTAAGATCCGTATCTTTGAAATTTTCATAGATTTTATCAATGAAACCTAACTTTTTCTTAAGAAACAATCCGACGATTAATACTCTACTTCATAGAAATTGTAATCTCCTGTCAAAATTTATGACACTGGCAATTTCAGGGTTGTTGGAGTGATGAAAATAGTTTGAAATGAGATGATCATCAAATTTAATATACCAAGAAGGTTGGTATGTCGCTTGTACATGGGAAAAACGGAAAATTAGTAGATACGTAACAATGACAACATTATTTGATTTTTATGTGATTAATTTCTCTTTTTAGAAGTAGTATTTTGCCGCAAGCCACTCATATATGTAACAAGATGTAAAGAAAGTAATGAGTTTAAAGAGAAATGAAGAATGTCAAAATTTTTGTAAGCAAACATTCATGGTTGTATGTCTTTTAATTTAACACCTAGCATTTAATCGAAAATTTATTCACATACTTGTTTATACTAGGTCGTTAATTCTATTAAACTGCGATTGCTATAAAGATTCTATTCAAACAGAATGATGTTTTCATTTGCAGATATCTTGTACCCGATATCAACCAACATAGAAGATATGAATTTTTTTTCTTGTGTATGCAAATATATTGATAGACATTATGAATAAAAAAATTTTATCCTTGTATTGGGAAGAGAATAAAATTGATGTAAACTTGATGTAAACAAAAAAAAAAAAAAAATCCCTAAACAAACATTACCATGATTCTTAACTTACATGATAGTTATTTGCTAACTCGATCCAAATTCCACCAGAAAATTTGGGTTTAAGTTGACCCAAATAATTTTTGGGTCGTTTGATTTTTTGGCTCGGGTTTGAGTGGACTCGTCAACCAGAAACTGACCCAAAATTAGCCCAGTACACTGAAATTGACTCAAACTCAACCAATCAACCCAAATTCGACAAGAATTTGACACAAAATTGACATGAATTCGACCTAAAATTAACCCCAAACATTTGTCATAACTTATGTTAAATGAGTTGTGTTCGGTTGGGTAGTTGAAGGCAGGCCAAGTTCGAGTTAGATTTTATGACCCATTTAATATTTGGGCCGTGTTCTAAACAGTTCAATTTCAGGTTAGATCCAAGTCTGACTCATGAATCCAATTTGACACCCTTGTTAAATTAGTCTATAGTTCATATGCAATGGAGGCAATGGAGATGGAACCATCTAGAGATTAGACGTGTAAACGTTTAAAAAAGTTTTTAAAGGAGAACATACAACAAAATATGGGCATTTACTAACATACCACAGAATTTGTAAGTATTTACATATCTAGCACCTAAATTTTATTTTTTTACATTTATATCACCTAAGTCATGTATATCAAATAAAAAATACTTCTATCCCCTACTTAACTTCGAAAAAGTGAACATATTTTTATTTATGCATGGATAAGATGACATATATATGAAAAGTTTGAAGCTTAATTCTTAGATATGCAAGGTGAAAACACCCAATTTCTAATTTATATATATATATAACACATAAATTTATTTATTTTTACATGTATACCATTCAAATCATTCATATCACATCGAAAGTACTGCTATCCACTACTTGACTTTTAAAAAGTGAAAACCTACTTAGACACAGGCAATGTGGCATACATGTGAACAAATTGAAGTTTAACTGTTCGAAATGTAAATGCACAAGAATTAAGCCACATATATGTTAATTTTCCATAAAATTAAAACAAATTTTAAAATATAAAAAATACATCCTTAAACCATTTTAAACAAGCAGAAAAGCCACTATTAACTAATTTTAAATCAGTAAGAGAATTCCATCATATTACACAAATAGCTAACACAAATGAATCCTGCGATCCAGTAGGACTGCTTCCAAAAAACCAGGTTACTCCACAGCAAGTAGATGCATACATGAATCAAGAGAGCAACAAGAGAAGCGAATTACTCCTGAAATTTCTGGATATATGCATGGCTTCCAAGAAAAATTTCTCCAATAAATAATCAAAATTTTTTATTACTTGACTCATTATTCAACTAGTATTATTATTTTTTATTTGCTTTCAGGTACAAGCAGATACACTCATTATTGAGAGTAATTTAGTTGTAAAGGCCATTGTAGATCTTATTCCAGTTCTACATATCCAGAGACTGATCATAGGAACCACAAAATTAAACCTCTGGTAAGATGAGGCTCAGGTCTATAACAAATTCCTTAAATCTTTTTTTTTTTTTTTCAGTTTATAGTTCTACTGATAATAGTACTGTAACAAGATAAGAAAGTGGAAGAACTAATAATATTACAAGCAACGCAGGAACGGGAAGCTAAGGAAGAGTAGTAAAGCAGGAGTAATATATAACAGTGCACCCCAGTACTGTGCAGTGAAGATAATCTGTCAAAGAAAAGAAGTTAAAACTACAGAGCAGAAAGCAGTGTCATCTTCCTCAGCCTCCAGCTGTGTTAAGGAAAATGGAAATGGAAGAAAAAATAGGAATACCATGAGTTATACTTGGTTCCCTATAAAATTTATGTAGCATTTTCCTGCTCCATAAAATTCATCACCAGGAATTTTTCTTTTTTTTAAATATGGTTTCATTTGATGCATATAATCTGTAAGTGGTAGAGTTTGAAGAAGCAGCTCTGTTTCAGATTACCCAAAAGTTAAAATGCCTCAAATTTTTCATGTAACGAAACAAAAATTTGTATGTAACGAAACAAAAATTTGTATGTAGCGAATACGAAAAATTTCAAATATTAATAATGAACGAAAAATACAGAAAAATATCGGTATTATTGAGCTATCCTTTCCATTAATCATACAGTATCAGGTAATTGAATCAGCTCACAGAACATTCCAAGCTAAGTAATAATATATATCTTTTTAATTTAAACCGTGAACAAACAGAAATATCTGAGCATTCAGTAAGAAGTGCAAACAGAAATAGAGAGAAGTCTTCCTAAAAAAACAACATATTTCACGCAGCATTAAAATAATCTACATAGAATTTCCTGTCATCCCCCCTCCTACAAAATCTAGTGCTCTGCCCTTGATGATAAATCTTAAAAGAAATCAAATTCAAGATAAGTCTCCAAACCTTTGTGATCGACATCACCCACAACCTTTTCGCCCGCCTGAGCAATCAAGACTGGAGCACGTTCAATCTCCACGGGTTTAGGGATCTCAGGTGGTGTCGCACATCGTATCAATGCCCAGTTCACGCCGTCAAAGAACGGATGTTGTTTAATCTCAGTCGCTCCACGCTTGAACGCAAGCCGATGCTGTGGCTCCTTCACGAGCAATCCCCTTATTAAATCGCGAGCGGAAAAGCTCACCATGGGAGAATCAGGGAACCGTAACGGTTGTCCAACTACGTTGAACAATGTCGCTCGATTCCCTGATCCCTTGAAAGGAGTCTTACCAAACAAAAGCTCGTACAAAAAGATGCCGAAGGTCCACCAATCCACAGCGCTTCCGTGGCCCTCACCCTTGATGATTTCGGGAGCCAAGTACTCGTGGGTGCCTACGAATGACATGGATTTAGCACCTGTTGGCTCGGCTATGAGCTCGGGGAGCGGAGTGACCTGGTTTCCAATTTCGAGCTTTGGTTTTCGATCCTTTTTTGATTTGGAGGAGAAGAGGCGAGGGCCAAAGCAGGTTGTGGGAGCAACACAAGAAGGCTGAATGCATGATGGCTCAATGCAAGCGGGCTGAACACAGTAAGCCTGGCTGGTGTTCTTCTTGGAGGACTCTGGATCGGGATTAAAAGATTTGATAACAGTAGGGTTCACGGCACAACGAAGGGAGAGGTCAAAGTCTGAAAGCATAATGTGGCCATCTTCTCGAACAAGAACGTTTTCAGGCTTGAGGTCCCGGTAGATAATGCCTAACATGTGAAGGTATTCCAGGGCAAGGAGGACCTCAGCCACATAGAATCTGTAACATAGGAAGCAATATTATGCATGAAGTCCAATTAATAATGCTAATCTGCATATTACAATAAGAGAAACCAATAGGATTTTGATGTATTAGGATTTATTTGATGAACAAATTGGTAATAAATTACAAATTAGATCATCACCACATATATCTAACGTGTACTTGGAAACTAGAAATTAAAAAAAAAAAAACTTTTATTGCTACAAAATTCAACCACTGACATCTGAATAAACTAACTGAACTCAAAGGCAAAAAAAAAAAAAAGATTCGCAAATGGGATATTCATCTACTCAGATGCAGAAAATCAGTTATACAGATTCGAATCTTAATAAATTTTCTTGTAACTTATAGCATTTCGTTTATGCATAAGGCAACTTATTTGTCAATAGTTAATAGTGCACCATGATGCAAGTGCATTCGAAGCCATAATGAATAGCATGATGCGCGTTGTTTTAAAACAAGTGAAACACACTAAACATCATGAATAATTTATTAACAATGTAATAGAAAATATAAGCTACTAGAAAAATAAAGGTGATGTTTAAACATTTAAACATAAGCTTACTTTATCATATAGGAGGATTCATGAAAGACAATAATATTGGCATAATAAGCATTGAAGTAAAAAAAGCAACTTGATTTGAAAAGGAGAAAAACTATCATTATTATAGCAATACTTGATATTAGAAAAAAATTTGTTTGTTTAAAAATTCCATAGTCATAAATAAATAAACCATCTTTAAAAGCATTATGGCCAAAATAACATCACTCATTCATCATTATCATCACCTAAATCATAGCCTTTTTATCATCCTCATGTGTTTCATGTTCATTTGCGATTATGGTAGGCCAAGACGAAGAAGTTACATTTTCTTTTCTTTTAGATCGATCATGAATTAGGTTCATTCCTTGCAACATCGTTGCATGTCTACTTTTGTTCACCAAATACTAATTCAACTCATTCATGTTCATCACTTATTGGCATCATCTATGTCTAGCAAATAAATTTGGAAAATAATATCATGATAGCAATATCGCTAAATCGAACCCTTATAATACTTTATGTAAACTAAAGAACTCATGCTCAAGCCCTACAAAAACATCTAAATCAAAGAACACAAAAAACAAGTAAATAACGGAGCAAACAAGATAGAGCATGCTATGTACCTATGTGCTAAAAAACAGCACATAAAAAACATATATAGCCAAATCTACTTCATTTTTCTTTTGCATCCCACATCAATAGCATAAAAAGTACAGCTCTCTGCGTAATGAATGATAGTTTGTTATTAACAAATATGCAAGGCAATCATGCTTTATATTCCCACTATTTCAAATATTCAAGGCAATCAATGCTTAATAGACCCATTGTTTCAACTGAACTAATTTTAGATGCTAATTCTTAGGACATTTTCTTAGGACATTGTAAATTTAATTTTTTTTTTTTTTAAGATAAAGGTTAATTTATCTTTCCCTTTATTTTGAAGCTCTCTTATTAACATCTATAAATAGATTTTTTATGTTTGCTAAGGACATTGTTTCTTTCATATTGAAACTCCAAGACTCTCCAACATCAACAATTTAAGTGTTTTCCATCAAATGCAAAAATAGAAAATTCTTGAGTATTTTTGGTAAATGGAGCCTAACAACCAACCACTTGTTCCAATTTTGCAATCATAGCAAGTAAACTGATAGTGGATATAATCAGAAGTGCAGACGAGTAGAGTCAAGCTTGACTTACAGTGAACTCAAGCTAGACTCATCTATAAGAAAAAAGGCTCAAACTCAAGCCCGGTTCGTCGCTTTGTTACCAGCCTCGAGAACTCAACTCAAAAAGAAGTCGCAACTCAATTAGAAAAACCCACACAAGAGCTACGTGCTGCCGTAGGAGTTAACAGAGCAAAAATGTTACAACAAAGCTCACCCAAGAAAGAATCGATGAAACAACCGGCTGGTTTCTGAAGAAGAAAAAAGACGTGGCAAGAGCTTGCTGGAAGTACAACATTCTATGTATCACGAGACTTACGGAAGAAGAAAGAAAAGCTATACATATAATCTGAACAAAGACATACTAAAAGAAAGCAATGAACGGGAATATAATTTATTGTTGCATTAAACGCAACAACCCATCCCACCTTGCTTTTTTTTGGAAAGTGAACCATATCTTTCTATTAAAAATAGCAACTTCGCTCCTTGGTGGATTAATTGAAGCATCTATTACAATATTCTTGGCGAACTCTCAAAATCAAGTCGGCTCACGAACTAACGAGCCAAGTAGCATTTAACTTAAATTCGAGCTAAGTCGCATTTAACTTAAACTCGAGCTTGTTTAGTATACAAACTTAAGTTTGAGCTGAAGCTCACAGCTCGATAATATCTATTCTTGAGCTCGTTAACGAGTCAAGTTTGAGCTTGACTCGCTTATCTACATAATAAATTTAAGCCTTTGGAATACATTTTTCTTAATAAGATCAATAAGCCAAAAATATGATTGTCAATTGTTAGATTAGTAAGCCAAAAATATGGCCAATTTGATAAGGATGTGTGGAGAGTAGAGTTTCATGACAGGAATACAATGATCTGGTTTTTGAATTCTTTAGCGTAAATTAAAAAAGAGTAGTTTTGGGGTTATCAATAAAATTTTGGTTGTTGTGCGCGTCATTTTATTGATCTCAGTTTTTTAGCTTGCTTTCTACTGCGGAAGGAGTTACTTGATTATACATGGATTTGAATTTTTGCGTGGTGAATTTAGATAAGCTGCAAGAAATCTAAATGATCGTAGAGATAGTTAACTGATAATATAAGGGATAAATCTTTAAGTAAATTAAATAGCGATAGCGTTGAGCACGCTTTTGTAAATCATGAATATGGGAACTCTTCTTTCAATAATGCATAATTGGTTACATACAAATTATTAAAAAAATTAATAGAAGTGAGTTAAGAAAGAAGAATTTGGTGTGTGAAACTTATTTTTTAAGATATAAAGAGTTAGATGTAGCATTTAAATACGATCAACAAACGGCAGCTCGGGTAATGATAAGTGTTATTTCCTCGATTTCTTTACTGTTCTGTATGGCTTTTATGCTTCTCAAGTATCAAATAGATTGCTAAGACAGTTTTGTTGCAAACAACATTACTTAACAGGGGAAGAATAGTCATTTATCCACAAACAGCTACAAATTAATTGTTTGCCCCAAACAGTCAGCCAGCTTATCCGGATAAGCTGTTTATCAACAGATTATTCAATAAGCTACAGCTGCCCCAAACACACTCTTAGACTAACATAAGCACAACAGAAAGCAAACAATTATAGATAATGCACAAGAAAGTGACACATCACATACCACATGACCTATGAATCTCCTTGTTCTTCAAAAGACAAGCGAGAAACTCATTTCAAGTACTATGTATAGTACTAATTTAGCTTACTGTTAATCAGTTTCCATATGAAGAAACCAAATCTCTAAAGATTGGTAAAAGCCTGAACTTATTAGTATTTTACTTGTTTAAAAATGGTTGTTTGGTTGCTTCCAAAAGATGAGCAAAGTAAAATCTGTAGTAATTTTACTTTTCAATGCTTTGTAAATCTACTGCAAGTCCAAAAACCTTGCAAGCGAATGCATCCCTTACTTACAACAGCTTTTCATTGGAGCATGAAGTTTTTTTTGGCCAAGCAAAAGTTTCCATTGATTAAAAGTTACCACAAAAAGAGCAAAATAAATATTTCATGATGAAAGAAACGAAAAGCTAACCGTAGTAAAATAAAATAAAAAATAATTGCTTGAATCAAATGTTTGAGCAACAAGGCGAGTAAAGAATTCATGTTAAGGAGTAAGTCCACTGCAATTCAAAATCCTTGAATGCAACACTAGTTAAGCTCCTCATATGGAAAAATAGCATGCAAGAACCAATCAGATTACATAAAGCCAATTTACTACAGGATATTTTTTGCCTTGTCAATCACTTAAAATGTGTAAAGAGAAAGAAGATCTTCACAAGGTGTTTAAAGATGAAAAAAACAATATAATGGAGTACCACAAAAAAATTTCAGTAAGAATTAGAGAGAAAATTTTATCAAAGATATGTTGAAATTAATAATATAAAAGAAATAGTAAGTGTTACTACAGGTAGTTCTAATCAGTTAACGAGTTTCCATTCACTGCAGGATTATATGAAGCAACATCGTTATGTTTATATTGCTTTATGTTACTTACTGAAACACTATGAAAGATTCAATGCAAAACGTTGTGGAATATGCAATTTGTAGTAAGAAAAATAATGGAGAAATTGTTTAATATAAAAGGAGCATAAGATTTGTGGAGAAAGATTACACGATACAAAATTTTAGTTAAATGTAAAATAGATAATTATCAGTCAATATTGTATGAAGATCAAGCGCCAATTAAATGTGAGTCATAGATAACTGGAATATGGTAAATAAAAAAATCAGTAAATGTATGATAATAGAAATTCTAGAGCTAAAAGTTATCGTAACAAATCAAGTACTTTAGGTAAAAAGAGAAATCACAGAAATTCATAGGTAAATTTCCTAAACTTGCAATTATATTAAAGATGTTGTTATATAGATCTAAATGTTACACAACAATGACGCCAATGAAAATTAAGCAGAATGTTGTAAATGAGGAGTTGAAATGAATGAGTAGTAAAATAAGAAAAGATAGAGTGGAACTACAACATTAGAGGGATAAATGTACACACCACCTATTCAATATAAGATACTTGAAAAAAAAAAGAATTAGAAGATTTATTAATATACGAAAAATGGAGAAAAAATGCAGAACAAAATAAATGGATAGAATAAAGGCAGAAGAATCAAGAAGGGAAAAAGGTAAACCAAAAATAATATATCTAGCAGTCCAGTTAAAACATTGCACAATCAAAAGTTTAACATAACATATAGCACCCAACAGATATTCAAAGCAACTCATTAAAAGGCAAATAATCAAAAAGAAATTTTCAAAAGGAGAACATAGCAATACAGTAAAAGAAATGACATAAGATATAGGCCATACTTCACAGCTTGCTCCGTAAAATGCTTGGCTGGCTGTCTCTGGCGAAGGGTGTGTAGATCTCCTCCGGGGCAGAACTCCATCACCAAACAAGAGAACTTATCAGTCTCAAAATGAGTATATAATGTCGGAAGAAAAGGATGGTCCAATGTTTGCAGTATTTCCCTTTCTGTCTGAGCTCGAAGCAGCTTTTTGCGACTTGCCAAAGAACCCTTGTCCATAACCTTCATAGCAAAGTAGGACTTTGTACCACTCAACTCTGAAAGGTATACACTCCCAATATCCCCACATCCTAACTTCTTGAGAAGTCTGAAATGGCTTAAACCAAGGACCCCATCTCTAGCCCTTACAACCTGAATTGCTTCCCATCTTGAATCATTTGATTTATGAGGTTTGTTAATGCTGCTACTGAAGCTGCTACATGAGCTCTCATCACTGATATCACTACTTGTGCTTGCCCTGCACATGCTACTCTTACCACTTTCAAAAAGGTCAGCTCGGCCACTGATCTTAGCACTTCCACTAGTCTTCGCTAAGCTACTTGTCCCATCACTAAATTTTGCAGATGCTGAACTATCCTTTACGCTGCTCTGCTCAGAGATTTTCTTTTCCTGCTCCCCACCAGCTTCTAAGATTTTGTGCCCATTTAATTGAAGAATTTCTGGTGCATCAACTTGCTTAAGTGATTCTTTTAGATTTTCAATAGGGGAGGAGTGCAAAATAGTCTCAGAAGTATGAATGGACATTGACTTAATGCAACCAGGTAATATATCAGCTGAACAATTTCTATGGTAGCTTGGTCTTTGTTCTGTTATATTAGTGGTGGGCTTAGGAATCTCCACAGAAGGCCTATCATGGCTCGACTTTATTGTTTGATCATTAGCTGTTCTCAGTTGCTGCTCTGGAATCGGATGAGTGATAGCCATTGAAGCCATCAATTAGGATAGAACTTTATATACCAATGAAACTTGTGCAGCCAATACGTTCCATGGGTTCAAATGAACAAAACAACTTTCCAACCCATCAGCAAAAGTTTATATTACAACTTTCTCCGCTAATCTTATGTCCTCGCCTCATAGAATTATCTGCAATCACATTCAAGCTGTAGAATCACTGTGCAAAGACAAACATCTAACAAAAAAGAAAAAAGAAATCATATTTACAAAAGAGAAATAAGAAATCATATCATGAAATTAAATAAATGGCAGAACAAAGATCATGGAAGACAATATTCAATTGAGCAATAGGCTAAACACTGGTCATTTAACTGGATGGCAAGTGCCCTTGCCCTCCCAGAAACTATTCTCTGATATAAAAAATAAGCGTTATAGAAGTAGCAACTGCACCTCTTACGTTAGTTCTTGAAACTCTAAAGAACAAAACATAAGCTAAAGCACCCTCTGGTCATGGTGCTAGGGTTAAAACTTGTAAAATGAGACCATGGAGAAGAAGGTAGAAGCAACTTTAGCAGAGCGACGATTAGGCCATAACAAACTACTGTAAAGGTTCCCGGCATTCAATGCAAAGTAGGATCTTTCCTAAAAAGAAGAATAGGAAAGCAAAGAAAATAGTGAGGTATGCCATAATGATCCACCACATAAAAAAAGTTAAGTCAGAGAAAACATCAAATTAGAAGTTTATAAGAAACTGGAGAATCAAAATACAATCTTTAACATGAAACCTAATCAGAGCCAATCTGGGAAGAAAGGCATAATCTGTACAGTAAGAACTGGAAAAAAAAATTCAGAGAATTGCATTAATTATTACAAAAAACGCCGTCTTTCAAAAGACGAGATATGTTCAAAATTCGGAAAATCAGTCAGAAGAACATCCATGCGTCGCCAAACTTCAAATCTTTATGTAATAAGTTGAAAAAGTGAATATCATCAGTAAGCAGGACCTCAGCAACAATAGCTTAAAAAGAAATAAAACGTAACCGGTCATGAAAGCACCAACGCTTTCTCATTCTCATGATTCTCCCAACGCAAACGCATAAACCACCATAGATCTCAAAACAAAAGATACCCTTTATCAAGCATCGAAACCATTTTCAACACAAGCATTAACTAAAAACCGGCCAGGAGCAAAAGGAAAAGAGAAAAAAGCATTAAAAAAGACAAAAGAAAGAAAGAAAAAAAAAAACCCTAGCAAAAAGATAGATAATTGAAAAAAAAATGAAATAAAATGAGCACAAAGTAATACCTTCATAAAAAAGTTCGCAACTTTAGAGCTCCATAACCCTTCCCCCGCTCTGAACTTCCTCCGGCATCCAGAAAAGAGATGGCGAAAGGGATGGTAGAAGAGAAACGCAAAGGGCACAAGCAAATGAAGAGAAATAAAAGGCAAGTCTTTAATGGGGCCGGGTGTGCGTTAGATTTGATTACAGGTTTTGTTTATGTAAAGACGAGGGTCAAAGCTAAGACAGCTTTTCTCTTTCAATTACCCCATTTTTTCCGCTCTCCAACACAATGAATCCAAAGCCACAGCTGCGGCTGGGTACTTGAGCCCATTTTTACTCTCATTTCCCTCCCACTTCACTGCCGCTTGGCTCACGGGAATTCAAATTTACCTTCCAGTCAACAGTACCTGTGCTCACTTATCTGTCCCAATTACTCACTTCTTTGTTCCCCGAATATTCTTTGCAAAGATGCCTTTCTTTATCATTATTTGGAAGATTTATATAAATACCACTCAATTTCTATGTATTTATATAATGTAACACCCAAACTTTAGTTTAAAATACATGCCACCTTAGACATGCACTAAAAGATGCATTTAAAAAAAAATTAATGGTATTTTTCATTTGAAATGAAACCTTTTGGGGATGTAAATATACTAATTAAAGTTTAGTTGTTAATTGTTATGTATATAAATACATAAGAATCCAGTGGCATGTCCGTAAATGCCCCTCTAAAATTTCATACTTATTTTTTATATTGTAATTATTTATAAGATTGGCATTTCTTTTTACTTACATTCATCAATTTTGATCAACTATCAAAAGTTGTAACTTAATTCAAACCCAAAAATTTCTTAATATGTATATATATCTATCTACATAGAAATTATACCGGCACTAATCTCTAACGATCCAAAAGAAAGTCCTCATCTCCATGGGGCCCACCAAAAGGCTGGTCGACAAATTAAATATCTTGTTGAATATTGCAAATCTGAGAGTACCCAAATCGCACGAGCAGTTAAAGCACAATCAGTTAGAGCAATTCATTCAGACAGTTGTGATGGGTCGTCCTTGTTTCCCCCCACGACGAAGTCAATCCAAGGGAGAAGTTGATCCGCAAAGATTGTCATACCAATACCACTCAATCGTCTTCCCCAATGCCATCAAGAGAATAAAATAAGCTTCAACTTGTCCCATGGGCCACCAAGATCCTCTTGACCAAGGGAAGGCTACCATTTGGTTTACGACGATTTATCCTCTGCCAATCGGCCTAACTTCACCCTGTCGATCGAAGCACCTTGGTTGAGATAGAGGGTGATGCAGGCGGATTTAGTGTGTTAATTTTGCAATTATTTTTTAATATTGTGAAATACACACGACATATATAATAATAAATATGCAATGTAATTCCAACAAAAGTAATTTTAATAAAAATAGTTTATCTTTAAAACTCTCTTAAACTATCAAATCCCCGTTTAAAAATAGCGTAAGTATACGTATCGCTCAAGTAATAAAGAGCTATAATGGAGGCCTAGATATCGATCCCACAAGGAAGTTGAAAATGTCTGTAAATAGTTCTTAAGATTATAATTATTATTTAAACTAGAAAAAGTAAAATGTGAAGTTTGTTTTTTAACTACTAAAGTGAATGCTATTTAAAATGCAGGTAAAAGACAAAGTTAAGTAGAAACTAAACTTTCAAAAGTAAAATTAAGAAAACTAAATGAAATTTTTGTTGATAGAAAGTTCAAATTTAAGAAAGCATTCTTCCCCTTACAATGAGCATATGAATTGTGAAGAAATTAAAATCATTTAAGAATATATGTAGAAATATATATATAAACTGTTTTGTGCTAAATAAGAGTAATCATATTCTTTACCCTCTTCCAAGTGCATAAAGAACGTTGACTAATTCAATGTTTGGTCCCTAACTCCATGGTTAAGCTGGAAGGATACTTACTCCGACTCTAAAGCTCACACTACTCCCTCCCCTGATGGCTAATAATCTCGCATTAGTTTCCAATCAACTAGACTAAATTGGGGATTTTAATCTTTCACCTTAAAATCTCCAATTTTGCATCAAAAAAAGTATATTTTCTTATTTATTTTCACCTAACTCCATGGATGACATACTCTCCCATGAAATTAATTGTGTTTCTCTCTATGTTGTAGAAATAATAGCTTTTTCGGAACATATGTTTCTCAACAAATTTTAACATTTCAATTGGTTTCAATTGGCCAACAAATTTTAACATTTCAATTGGCCAGATCGGAAAGTAAATGAAGATCGGAGTTCAATTATTAACATTTAAAACACATTTAAAACCGTAGAAAACAAAATTACTTCTTCACAAAACCATATTTCAAAGTAGGGAGAAGGATAAAGAAGACTGTTAAGAATTCATGAGAATGATACGACAGAACATGAATTTCATATATAAAAACAAGTTGAGAAGATAAAAGAAATAAAAAACACAACTTATCTCACAATCTTTCCCAAGCAAATCCCTAAAAGTTCTCTCAAAGCCTTTCTCTCTTTACAAGCACTCTTAATTCTCTCTTAGAAGTGCAATGAAGAAGAAATCTCTCACATTTCCTCTCCTCTCACAACCCTAGAAGAAAATCTTCTAGCCCTTTGACTTTCTCTCTATCTATTTCTCTTACCTTTCACGCCACCACCTTTCTCTCTCTTTCACGTTCACACTCCTCAACGCCTTGAAGTTTTTTTCTTTTATTAGGGGCTGCCTCCTTTCAAAAGGAATTCCAAATTCCCTCCAAAAGTCCACTCCTTTGAATTCAAAAGATGTGTCATTTGATCCAAGAGACATATCCCTTCATAATAGAACCTTCCAAAGTGTCTAGATGCATTGAATTACTCCAAGAGGTGTTTAGAACAAGTTTCCCTTTGAAAATTCACACTAAATTTGTCTTGAATCGCTTTAATCCGCAATAAGTCGTCTCTGGCGCATCATTCGTCAGCTCTCTGTCAAACGGTGCATTATGCGCCAGATTCCCAAAATTTGTTGTATTGGCTCCAAATTTCATCCTTTTTGCTACTTTTGCTCCATATGCCTAAAAATATTATACCTGCAACAAAAACACAAAAATTCCCTTTTTTAAAGTGTGATATCACCAAAAATAATCATAAGATACATACTTAAAACAACATATTATTTTCATCTATCAAAATCCCTCAAACTTTAATGTTACTTGTCCTCAAGTGACACTTTTATTACATAAAAGCATATGAATTAGGATAGGGATAGGATAGGGATCAACTCGGATAGGGATCAACTCATAACTTTTATACTTTAGTTTAATAAATAGAATAACAAAATTTTAAGAAAAACCTTTAATAATTTATATTCAAACTCTAAGTCTGAGACTATTTAGTAATCAAATTTAAGATTTTTGAATCTCTATTCATTTCAAGAAGACTTGCAATTTGGCATATTAAGGATATTTAGAATATTCATATGAAAAAGTACTTCATGAACACTTTACTAGTAATACTACTAATATTCCAATACAAGTTTGGAAAATATAATAAAGCTCCTTCCTTAAGTTGATTCAAGTGAAGCCAATTTTTGATTAGACATCTCCTCAAGCTTCTCCGCACTTTATTTTTCTTTTCTTTTTTTTTCTTTTAGGATCTTTTTCAATCCTTTCGTTCCTTTTTTAAGCGATGATTACTATATCTGGATAGCCTTTAATAGTTTTGAACTTCAATATCCTCTTCTTAAAGTTAAAACTCCTTACCTTTCTTCATTTAATAAATTCATATTAGTTTATAATCTTTCATAAAGTTTCATTCTTTCGTCTTACATGTAACTCTAAAATTCTTAACACTTCAAAAATAAAATTTTCTTTATTTTAAATTGAAAAACATAGTCTTATCCTATCATATCAAATATCTTTAACTTCAGAATTGACTTTTATTATTAGAAACTTTTTACCAAAATTTACCATAATATTTATAAAAAAAAGTATTGTCATTTAAAGTTTAATCTTAATATATCAGGTCATGTTAAATTAATTCTAAAAATATAGTTAATTAAGGACAAATAAAATATAGTTTATTTCTTTTCAAAAGAAAATTTTCTTCCTCCCAAACTTAAGTTATAAAGTAATTTTTAAAAATATTTTAGTACAAAATTTAGTAGGTGAAAGTAAACAATAAATGCATGAAAATAAAAACATACCTGTAGAAGATTTCTGATTATGAAACTTGGCTCTAGTATACTGTAGATACTAACTTTAAAGACATACATATAGGCTTTAAAGCATTAAATGAGACATAATATATTCTAAAGAATTTGCTGAGAATTAAAAAAAGAAATACAAAAACTAAAAAAATACTAAAAAAGTAAAAAGTGAAAGTCTACAGTTACTTTAAAGATTCAGTTCACAACACAACATAAAAGTTCCACAACACAACATAAAAGTCGTCCACAACACAACATAAAAGTCTTTACTTCAACAGCTACCAAATAAAAGTACATCTCACAAATAACAAACAAACAAAACAAACAACAAAACAAACTAAACTAGACTCATAAAAATATCACTCTTCATCACCTTCCTCATCATCATCATATTCTTCTTCTTCCTCATCTTCATCATGAACAGGAACATAAGGAGTGAAGCTGGGGCAAGGAGGAAATTCCACATTGGGCTCACCCCTAAGATGTCTTACCATAGCATTCAAAAAATCTATATCATACTAAACTCTCCTCTACTAATATTCATTATTATAAGCATTTCTTGCTCCAATTTATCCAATCCCACTCTGTATATTAATTACTTATGTCCATTTTCAAAATCATAAGCTACTCCATAATATTTTCAAGTGAAGCTAATCGAGAAGTAGATGCTCCTGCAGCTGATGTAGAGGGTTTATCCCTTCTACCACCTCTAGATTCAAAAATGATTCCACTCTCTGAATCATATGCCGCTCAATAGGATTTTGTGGCTGTAATCTTTCTTCATTTCTATGGGACTCTACTTCCGATTGCTCACATAAGGTGAAAGTCAACAAGGAAGCGTAGAAGTTAACTATTTTATTATTCTTAATCTTCCATTCTCCTTTTCCATCAGTCAAAAAGGCAATCGCTTCATCCAGTGATGAATCAATCATCATGAATGTAGCATACTCATCATGATATATATTCATTAGCCCATGAAAAGTATTGATTTGATCAGCAGTAAATTCTACTTGCTTACCTCTAACCATGATGTGATCACCCTCAGTGAACCTCATGCTAGCATAAAACTCCTGAATCAAAAGGAAAATTTTTACTGTAGTGAAGTAGAAGAACCTTTCGCATTTTCTCGTGAGAATCAACATTTTGATCTTGCCACCCGGGT